AGCTAACACTTTATTAGCTTTATCAGGTGAATATTGATCTTCACTAGTAGATAACGGGCCATTTGTCCCGGTTCCATAGGTCCATTAGCCCCGGTTCTGGAACCGGGACTAAAGGGCTTACGAACCGGGACAGAAAGGGCTCCACGTGGCCGCTGTGGGGCGCCTAGGCAGGAGCATCTTTGATCCCGGTTGGTAGCACCAACCGGGACCAAAAGGCATCCACGCGTCAGCAGCTGGCAGGAGCAGGGGTTTTTGTTTTTTTGTTTTTGAAAGGGGGGAGGTTAGGGGTTTTTGGAGGGTTAATTTAGGGGATTCTTATATTGTGTTAGCTAGCTAATAGAGAGAAGTGACCTCTCTTATCTCCGTGCTTGGTCGACTCTAGCTACTTTACGTATAGAGAGAAGTTGACACGCTAGCTAGTAAGCAAATGAAGAAACCATTAATTACACAAGATCATCATGAACGTATACAGATAGGAGTGCACATCTCTTTCTCCGAGAGATTTGTCGAACAACAAGTTTTCGTATATCTATCCGACACTACTAGCTACATATATACAATATAAGATCTCTTACAATCCCTAACATCTCATGTCTATATCAATTTCCACATGGTATTCTCCGGCTTTATGTACGACATGGTCAAGAAAGAATCCCGCCAATTCCTCTTGAATTGCTCGTATGCGATCTTGTGGTAGGAGTTCATCCCGCATCTGCCAGATCTAAATTTAAGAATAGGGTCAATACATGTATATGAATGAAACTCAACACAAATGATGGTAATAAAATAAAATTGTGAACATTTTTGCTTGCGCACTTCATATTGTTTTACAGAGTAGCCCCGCTTATTTTAGGCCGTCGCGTTGTAGATGAACTCGCAAACGTAGTATTCACAAAAATAAATTCCGGATTCCTGCCACAAGCACTTTACGAGAAATAGAGGTCAATCAAACTGATAAGCAAGTATGCTAAATGGTATTGATGAAACTAGCTAGAATCAATGGGAGATGCGCGGAACTAGGTAGTAGTACTTACTTTCGGGTGTGTAAATCGCAGCTCGCTCGGCGGTCCCAGAGAAATTACGGTGAACTCTTTCCAAACTCTGTCGGACAAAGAAAATAATTACTTGATATCAGGAAATGAACAAAGTTGCCGATATGGTTGAACTTACTTCTGGAGCATTTGAGTCATGTCCGCATAGTCCCGGGGATCT